TGCTCAGGAGAAGAGCGAAGCATTGAAGGCTTGTGACGACACAATCAAATGGCTCGATGCTAACACATTGGCCGACAAGGAAGAATACGAAGACAAAACGAACACGCTCACTAAACTCTGTTCACCAATCATGACAAAACTACATAGTGGTGGTGCACAAGGAGCGTCTTGCGGTCAACAAGCGGGTGGATTYACTGGTGGGCATACTGGACCCACTGTTGAGGAAGTAGATTAAACTAAATTATTTTGGAAATATATATTTTTGTAATTTAATGTATTAAATTAAGGTCTTAGTTTTTAAAGTTTAGCAATTTTAATTATTTCTAGAGTAAACAATCACGTAAAAACAAAAAAGACTGAAAATATAGAAAATGAACTTATTGAATATTTAAAAGCAACTTTCATTGTTTTAATAGAGGAAGGATTGGTGTATGGGTTTTCGCATTAATTTCTAATCGCCTTGATTTATATTTGAAGGAACTACCCAGAGTTTAAGAATGTCAAGGACGCATTGTGAAAATTATATTCATTTAAATTTTCTTGGTTTTCTTTTATTTAAATGTGCTTATAGTCGGCAGAGCAGACCACGAATCGGAAACAGTCGGTAGAGCAGTTTGTCAGTTTTTCCGTCTCCCACTAGCCACAAACACAGCAAAAGACTACCTACTGGGCCGATATTACAGTTCCAATAGAATATCGGTAGAGATACAAAAGTACTTCTTCAGTGACAAATGAGGAGGGACGGAATTAATTGTAACTAAACAGGCATTGATGGATAGATGGAAATGGAAAATTTTCTATAGAACATAATATAATAGCATATTATAGTTTATTTCCGACGACAATATGATTTTACAATATTTTTTAATTTATCCTCAAACTTTAATCACTTAAAGCAATGTACATTATTTTAACAGAAATAATTCTTATACTTAGATAATTTTTAGTTTTTATTTAGATATTTAATTTAATTCGGTTTTAGACCGCGAAAGGAAAATCGTAAGAAGAAAATACTATATATAAGAAGTAAGGAAGAGCTAAGTTCAGGTGCGACCTTATACTCTTGCAACTTGCAAGAATCAAATTCAGGCAAATACTTTAAGGTGTAAAACCAATCATATAGAGTAAAGTCACCCCGAAGTTCGAAAGTTTTCAAATTAAGTATATGGGGGCTAAGGGAAGTATTGGTTCGATTCAACCCATTTTGAACATACATACCATTACCCTTAATTTTAGTTATATATATTATTTACAATATCATACATTGACCGACATTTTCGATCGAAAGTCAACTATAGGTATACAATGTGACATAAGAATGTAGAAATAATGCCCACGGTTTGGTGGGGTCTCGGGATATGGGATTTCACCAAAATGTGGGCGGTGCCACGCCGGTCAAATAGCCACTACGGCTGCGTTTGCATATCTGCGCCCATTTACGCCAATTTTTAATGACCCTATGTAGCATTTCGGCTAGAATTTTGGCTCTGGTGCGCTGAATGTTGTTTCGAGGTCTTCGAGCGTTGCTGGATATGAAAGAAAATACCACAATCCGCATCAAACGGTCAATTTTAGGAGATGCAATTGTGTTTCACGAAGATTTCACTCGCCTTAATAGCGACAATTTTTTATTCGCGAAGCCATTTTTAAGATGATTTTTTATCTTAGAGGAGTCTCCGCAGAACTTAAACTAGTGCATTAATATTGCACAATTTTCAAACGTAACAAAGGGAAAAGTGTCACGATGAAATGTCAAGTCTTTCTGAACACACTGACAAAAATGGGCGCTTTAGAAGAGTATTACATTAAGACAAAAAGTACCCGAAAAATGTAATTAAAATGATATTTTAAAATATGTAATTTGCTAATATGAGCGCGATCTATCAACCAGTTTGTTTACAATAGCGGCTTAATTTTACAATGGATGAAAATATCGAACAAATAATTGGTCTCAAATTTCTTATTTCTAACCAAGTTTCGGATGCGGAATGTTGGAAAAGATAGACTATCGAGAAACCGTTGAGGATACGCTTCAAATAGTGAAAATATTAGAAAAGTGAAAGACATGGTGCTTGAAAGTATCCATCTGTCACGAGTTTGTTCGAATGATTTTAGTGAACATTTTGGGTTTGAAACGCGTTCCTGCTCGACTTGTCCCGACAAAACTGAATTTTTTCAAGAAGAGTACCGTAAACAGGTCTCTTCGGACATGCTTGGTCGTGCGTATTCGGATCCCACTTTTATGGAAGGCATTATAACTGCCGATGAGACAGCATTTTATAAGTTTGACATTGAAACAAGTCAACAACCGTCGGAATGGAGCGCGTTTTCAGTCGATCGACGAGAAAAAAACAAAATTCGCTGAAGGAGTTGAAGGCCACCCAATAAGTGCTTATGAAAAGTGTTTTGAAGGCTGGAAAAATTGTTAACATACATATATTACGTCTGGTGGGGATTACTTTGAAGATGACAAACTAAATATTGAAGAATAATTAAATATTTTGCGTTTTATTTACAATTTCCGGGTACTTTTTTGTCACATTTTAAAGCTTAGATTTTCTTGTTTTTTTTTTTTAATCTTTATTGATCGTTTCAGTTTATTCAAGAAAGTTTCGCAAAACTTTTACACTTTATATTTTAATAATAATTACAACTACATAACAATTTTCATATCAATTTGAATGTAATATTGTCATTAATAATATCTTATTAATATATATTTGTTTCTAAATGTACATGTGTATGATTATATCAACTAGTACTAAAATGCAAAAATATGTGTATATGTATATAAATTTGCGATATACATACATACAGAACAGAATTTATATTTTAATTTAAGTCACAGGTATATAAGTTGATCTGCATGTGCTAGAGATAAGCTTACATCAATACGTACTAATATATGTATATAATTACGTACATATGTATATAGTGTTTATTCAACGGTTGTGTGGTTAAAGTGTCTACATAATATTTCGTGCCTTTATATAAAAGTAATTAAGAATTTTTATAATTACCACACAGACCTCACTCATAAATCAAGTACATCGAATTTGTCCTTGCTGTTGTTGTTGTTTTTGTTTACTAAAACTGAATGGCACAAGCTATAAGGGCACTTAATTGTTAACTATTGTACTTAAGTACGTACAGTGGTGAAATTGAAGTTATTTTTCTTGTTGTTGTTCTCTTTTTGCATTATTGTACAATATATTTAATTAATATAAATATTGAAAGCAACAAGACTTTAGATTGAGTGCGCCGCAAGAGCAATTACAAGGCAAAAATAGAATTACAATTTGTTTGTTTTTGTTGTTATTTTACATGTGCGCCTAAATTCAATAGCAGTTGATTACATAAAACACTAATACATATTTTGTATGTATATACAGATATCACTACTACTACTACATAAGTGTTATTAAATTAACTAATTAATTACATATTTATACACAAATAGTTTACGAAATCTTTGGATATAACAAACAACAACTGTGAAAATTAAACAACAATTTTTAAAATTTAATTTAATTTTTCAAAATTTTTCAGTTTTAATTTATTTAATTTTTATTTTTATTTTTTGTTTTAATTTTTAATATTTTAATTAATTACTTTAAATATTTTTAATTTTTTTAACTATTTTTTTGGTGTTAACTTTTGAAACCAAATGTTTTTTAATTTTAAATTTCAGTTTTTAAATAAAATTTTAATTTTAATTTTTTAAATTTGATTTATGTTTCTTATAATTGTTTTATTTTTGATTGTCTTTTTCTCTAATTTCTTTTTTAATTAATCAACACTCTTTGCTGGTTGTTACTTTCGTTGTCTGCTTGTTGTTGTTTGCTACTTTTTGCATTTTTTGCTCAAATTATAGTTACAATAAATACTTTTATAATTAGAATTTGATTTGTAAATTCTTTTCTTTCTTCAACAGATCGCTCGGCAGTTTTCGTGCACGCGTAACTATTCGTTATATAGTACGGAAATGCTACTAGATATTACTCACACACACAACCTAGGTATGTGTTGTTTTTATATTCCGCGCATCTTGTAAGTTTTCACTACTTTCAAGTTGTGTTGCAACAGCTGCTTTCTCCTTCTCCTCGGCTTCGAAATCGATTCTACGTGGTGGATCGTTGAAATCTTGCACCTCACCCGACGCCCAGATCACATAGACAATGGCGGTGATGACAAGCACACCGAAAGCGACCCAGAAAACCAGACGCCATTCGAGCAGCGAGGCCTGAAAGGTTATAAAACAAAGTGAGTACGGAATATTTCTTTACTTTTGTATATATATTTAAGCTACGAGGTATTTTAAAAACTTTATAGCCCCGAAAAATGTTTATGTACTCGGTTTCTGAATTGCTTATGGATTGAGACAATATTTCATTAAAGACGAAATGATCCCAAGATTAAGTCTACTCTAACATTTTATAAAACCGTTTATACTTTAGTGAAGTTCTGTTATATTTTGACAACAGTTCGTTAATTGGGTTCAATACAATGTTTTAACAAATGAGTGTCAATTCATGAGTTTGATCTCATTGTCGAGTTTTCCTTAATCTCTTATAAAATCTAATGACATACCAAGCTTTTTTTGCGCTTCGGCAGACAGTGATATACTTCTTACAAAAGTTGAAAAGCTGAACACAGTCTGGGGTTCCAGTTTTATAGTCTTTTCATTCTGCACTTTTGCATTTTCAACTTACATTTGGTGTCATCAAGCCCACCAGTGATGGCGAAACAACGCCCGTAATCGCACCAATACCGTTGGTGATCGCCATCAATGTGCCCGCATAGTTGGGACTCATATCGAGCGGTGTAAGCTTCATGCCCGCATAGAAAGCACCCATAAGACCCATACAAATGGTAAAAAGTGCAACGACAGCAATACGATCACAACCAGCATATGAAGCAGCAACCATGAAGATCGCTGGGCCAAAGGCAGCTAAAGTAGGAGAATAGCATTAAGTATTTTTATGGACAACGTACAATAACGAGAGTGGCTCGTCGTACTCACCTAAACCAGTCATCATCTTGCGCACATTAGTGATATTCATGATTTTACGTGAAATCAACCAATCGCCAACGAAACCTGAACCCAACGAGAAGATCCACATCATGGCGTATGGTAGTGAAGAGTAGAGACCGTTAGCTTTAATAGAGAATTGCATAACATCTGCCATGTATTTGGGCAAATCAGTAACCATAATATAGAAGCCCCAATCGTGACCGATTTGTGCTGATATCAAAGCCCACATTGGCAAACTGGTTAAAATGGCACGCCATGGTGTGGGTGGCAAATTTTTGTTGCGACCAATGCTACCCATATGCTTGGTTAGATACTCCTTTTCGCTAGGTTTGATGAATGGATGTGTGGTTGGGTCACTGTAGCAAAGGAAAGTCTAAAAGTAAATACAAGAATATTTTATTATATATTTGTATGCTCCAAAAGTTTGTATGACGGTAGACCACTTACGAAAATGACGAACCATACAAGTCCAATACCGCCGAAGAAATAGAAGACCACAGGCCAATCATAAGCGTCCAACAGTATACCAGACAACAGATTACCCAAAATTGTACCGACTTGTCCACCACCCAATACCAACGCACCCAATTTGCCACGCTCCTTAATCGGCACCCATTGTGCTAATAATACGCTCAAAGCCGGGAAGGTGGTACCCTCACCAATGCCCATCAGAATACGCACAACAATTAGCCAAGTCGCACCACCATGAATGATGGCGAGTGGTGTAATGACGGTGAAGAAAGCTGTAGACAGTATACCCAAACTGAGCGTCCATTTACCACCAAATTTTTCCGCCAATAGACCGCCAGGAATGTGCGTCAAAATGTAACCAATATAGAAGGATGAAAGTATATAACCCTGTAACTCTTCTGACCATTCATATTCACCACCACTCTGTAAGAATTATTTACATTATATGTGGTGCTGATTTACTTCATGCAACTATGCATCATAAACTTACACTTGATTCCGAGTCCAAATCGTCGGCCACGCATACCGCCGTGCTACCATCATCGTCTGTATGATTTTTTTTAACCACTAGCTCGGTAATAGCTACCGAGAGACATATACGCATCGTATATGCATTGAGTATGGCAAAAAAGCCCATGATCGAAAGGATCACTCGCTGAGGTACGAGGAAAACTGAAATCAAAAATTGGGAAAAAATTTAATTAATATAGGTTTATTAATGTATATTTGGAGTTTAGTTAGCATAAGTATAAAAATGCAGTTAGGTTTACTTTCAAAGTTTCGGCTGATTGTCATTTTAGACTTAAAGTTTAGTAAAAAACTTGACATGACTGTTACACCAGTTTTGTTTGAGTTTTTTTCTCATTTTTATGGCTTTCGACGTTTTTTTTTTGCTTAATGTACATACATAATCCCTCATTCTTAAGATTTTAAGATAAAACTGCTAGGATTCATCTTATATCGGCCCCTAAGATTGATCTCATAAAGCTGCCCTATTATTAATAGCTATCATATGAGAGCTGTTTTAACCTACATATATATATTATTTATAAAAATATATTATTTAGTAAATTAACTAGACTTCTACTACATTCAAAACTATGACTCATGTACGGTCGGCTGTTTTTTTCAATAGGTCATTAATCAAATTGCCCGATTTTGACATTGTCTTCTATAACAAATCACAAACCTCAGAAAATTCAATTTATTTATACTAAATTTGTAGTTAAATGCTTAATTAGCTTAGGAAAAAAATACCTTTCTGTTCCACTTAAAATCGCATGCTTCACTGATCTCACGTCAGTTGTCACTTTTGAAGACCCACTCAATTTAAAATATGTACTATATATGAATATACATACAGTGGTGGCAAGAAATATGTCTACAATAATATATGACTAGAATATTTTATCAAAAGTTTGAGAGATCAAGAACAAATATTGCAAGATATATTACGGTATATAAAATATATTTTTATGCACCACAATTTTGTGTTATAAAAGTAATTTATGCATCGCTATTTAAAAAAAAAAGCTTTACTAATGAGCTTTTATCAGCAGCTTTTTAATTGCTTCGATTTTTTTGCGTGCTACTGTGTAATTATGGAAATAAATGTACGCCATCTATTTCATATTAAATTAAATGAGGTGTACAACAATCACACAATCAACACTATTCGTGCCAAATTATCGAATTAACGAAGGGGCAGCAAAAGAATTAGACAATGTGTGTGCTCAATGAGTGAGTAATTGAATTGTAAATGTTTTTTATAATATTCTCAAAACTAATCAAATTGAAAATTTCAATAGACCATATTTGAAATTACTGTTATAATAGTGAGAGCTCACGTAGAGTATGTTAGTGAATGTTTAATATTTACTCTAAATTGTTTCAGTTGTAAACTAATCATGGTTAGAAGTTTGAAAGTTTTTTTGCTTGGCATAGTTAGTTTTTTAAGAATAGTTTATTGAAATTTAAAAATGTATTGCAACAATTATAAATTTGAAATTCGGCAAACTTAGAAAAATAACCGAATGTTTCACGAAGTTTTCGAAATTGGTTTAATATTCACTCACAAAACGCTTGTCGTAGCATGAAGTTTTCAAATTATTTTAATACATGATGTTATTAAGTGTTTTGAGTGTTACTATTTTTTATTTTGAATACATATTTTTTAATTTGGAAATTTCTACAAGTTATTACTTAACTTTTTTCTATGATTATAAAATTTCCTATATATTTAGTTACGTTTTAGTAATTTCTATTAAAATTTGATTTGTTAATTCTCGCTGGGGATTAAAAATTAAATTTTCAGTTTTTTATATTTTAATTCAAAATTTGTAAATACAAAGTAAAAATGATTTTATTGAAGTCTTTCTCCATATATCTATATATTTACTATATGTTTGAAGATATGGCGCTTGTACATTAGACAAAAACATAGAAAAACGTCTGGGAAAAGAAAGGCTGAACAAATTTTATTGAAGACTAAAATATTTACGCAAAAAGCCGCCTAAATCCGGTTCAAATAATTTGATAATGATTTGACTACTACATACATATGTATATACATAAGTATTAGAGCGGATCGACTTTTTTTCTATAAAATCGTTTATGAGGTAAATGTTCTGTAGATCATTCTGAACAACTTTGCCTAAGAGGTAGAGATTTCGAGACAGCGATTTTTAAGGCAAAGTTAAAAAAATCTGAATAATCGGTTGTATGGGAGATATATGTCATAGTTGTACAATCTGACCGATTTAAGTATTAAATTAATTCAATTGCAGGCTCGAAACCGGTCTTAGACCCAAAGTCTCTTAGACAAGGTTATTCAGAATGATTCGTAGAACATTTCCCGTATACGCGATTTGTCGTGTTTTTGCTTCCTGTAAATCAACCCGCTCTAGTATGTATGTACATATGTATGTATATACTAATATACTATAGGTTTATACGTATAGTATGTGTTTGTTTTTGTAATCGATTTCGAGAGGTTAAAAACCTCTATTAATTGAATAAAATTATAAAATAACGTAAAACATGTTAGGCTCCTCCAATTTTATTTGTGTTTTGTTTTTGTTTTTATTATAATTTGTTTTTGTTATTATTATTTGTTTGAGTTTTTTTTTTGTTTTGCATTTTTGAGTTAAAAGACCTCATTGAAGGTTTGCCCTGTCGATATTCGCATACATAGTAAACTTGCTTCATGAAAATGCAAATTTTTATTGTGTCAATTTTAGAATATCATTAGCGCAACGCATTTATTTTTATTGTTGTAGCTTAGGTATTTGGTACGTGCAATGTGCAGACACGCTAGTTATGCTACTTACATACATGCATTTCTAATTGGGTTAAATAAGGGCAAAATACATGAAATTAAAATGGCAAATCAGTGGTTTGAACCTGTAATGGTACATATGTTACTAGACATATATTTTTTGATTCTACAAGTATTTGTATATAATCGTCTGTAATCATATATTTATTTATGATCAATTCAATTCAATATGAAATATTTATAGTATTTATATTCTTTACATATGTAAATGAGTAATACTATATAAATGTGGTTTCAATAATTATTATTGCAATAATTATAAATAATCGAAAATAATATATTAAATAAACATTTTCAATAATTCTATTAAATTTCTCATCGTTAATAATTTACACAATATGGCTTCTTAAAATCTATTATTACTATTTTTTATATGATTTTTATTATTATTATTAATTTTAATGCCTTGTAGTGCCTGACGAAATTTATATCCATTTGTCTAGTATAATTATAACTTTATCAGAAAAAATAATACCCTATTTATAGGCGGGATACTTAATGTTTTTAGTTAATTAAAGTAAAAACATTAACTTCCAATACATTGAAGCCATATCCATTCACTGAAGTATTTCGTATAGCGCAAATGATCTTAACCTTGATTTTGATCGGTCAGTTTGTATAACTATATTGTGATCCGAGTAATGCCAAATTTCGTGAAGATATCTTGCCAAATGAAGAAGGTTTCCATACAAGCACTTGATTTGTTTGACAGCTACTATGCTGAGCAGCTTCTTATGGATAGAAACGCGTAATTTCAGATCGATACCTCAACAATTGGGGGACTATTTCGTATATATACAGACAGGGGGTCGGTCAGCATGCTCCACACGATTGGTAAAGTGTACGAAAGAATAGTAACAATCCGTTTGAAGTTAGCAATTAGAAACCCGGCGGATTATCAGCGCTGCACTATCTCTAATGAAGTACTGCAGTGCTTAGTTTTAGGCCCACTACTGTGGAATTTAATGTACGACGGGGTGCTAAGAATAGATTGACCAAAAAATCTGAAAACAATCGCATATGCGGATGACCTCATATTGGTAGCAGTGGTTAAACATCTAGAAGATCTCCGCATCAAATGCAATGATTGCACTAATGGTTTGCGCCGATGGTTTGCTACCATGAGTCTACAGTTGGCTGAGCTGAAACATGAATGAAATATAGGATAATTTAAAATACTTCACAGCCATAAATGTAGGTAAGTACTCGAAACTTTTACGCAGTGCTGTTTTCAATATGCGTAATAAGTGCTATCCGAACCGCTGCTCCGGTATAAGCCAGTATGGTGCCGATTGGCATCCAGGGAGACGAATACGCGCGAATATACAACTAATCAGAGACATCCACAGTAGCTAGAGGAGAGGAGAGAATACAAATCATCACAGTGTGGGAGCAACGGTGACAAACTTAATGCAAAGAACGGTGGAAACTCTTACCGGACAATCATTCGTGGATAGATAGAGAACATGGGTATCTAGATTTCCACCTCACCCAAATACTCAGTGGTCATGGGTACTTTAGAAGCTACCTATACGTACTCTATCATTGCCCTTGATTTTCAAATATAAGGAAAAAGCTTAAAACCACGCTTGGAGGTAGTTTCACGGTGAAAAATGTGCGAGTCTTCTGTGAAATGGAAAGCACTGAAGTGTCAGCTCTAATTATGATAATATTGAGACATTTACAGCAAATTAGGGGCCAGTTACTCCAAACAATACAGGAAACTTTTCTCTTCTCCTCTCCCATGAAGTAATAGTTAGTCCAGGAATCCCTTATGAGAGATATGAGATGGGAGTAAGTTAGCTTTAGCGGATTAAAGTTCCGCACTCCGACTTTCGATGTTTTCTCCTACTATAAAAAATAATCGACTTAGCTCGTTACGCTGTTCAATCGTATACACATTATATGGTATCCGACGTCTTCTTCTAGGTGTTACTAACTTTGGAAACTTAATATACCCTGTTCAGGGTAAAAATAGATCAGATAGATTAGATTTTTATCATAGATTGAGTTACCAGTACCTTGAAACTTTACGATTGCTTCTATGTTAACCTACTAACTTGAGTGAAATGTTTTTTCAACGAGACTTTTTATGAATTTGGGTCCAAATCCAACGAATACGTTGGGTGGGGGACTAATTCATAGGGTAATTTTTTCTAGTTATTGTTTTTATCATAAGCCAAAAGAACCGAAGCATTTTTTTACATTATATAGTAAAATGATTGTTGACCTTGTAAGTCTTTATACATTAAAAAAAAAGTTCTTCAAAATTTCAATTCGTATATTCAGGTATTTGTATTTTTTTCTAAACTAAAAAAAAAATTCCCTAAATTTA